CCCCGGGCGTGCCGCCCGTCGCGTGCCTGCAGCAGGGCCCAGGAGCCGGGAACGGGCCCTGCTCCCAGCGGGCAGGAGCGATGTGCAGGAGCAGCCTGAGCTCTCGTCACAGCAGACGCGAGGCCCCAGCCTTGAACAGGAAAGCGGCAAGACCTCTTTGGGCCGCTGTGATGCTTGCCAGGGCTCCGGTGTGACCTGCCAGGCCCCCTGTGGTCATGCCTTGTGCAGGACATGTTTTGCAGCAGACAGTACACAGCCAGCTTGCTGCAGCTCCTCCTCGGTCGCCCTGAGCCACAAGATCTCGGGGACATTCAAGATCTCCTCCCTGTCTCAGAGCCTGAGTGGCTACTATCGAGACCTCACGCTGCAGGTTGCCTACAACATCCCTGATGGCGTGCAAGGGGTAGGTACCCACCACGGGGGCTTCCCCATCCCATGGCAGGTCTCAGTACACAGCCAGCTTGCTGCAGCTCCTCCTCGGTCGCCCTGAGCCACAAGATCTCGGGGACATTCAAGATCTCCTCCCTGTCTCAGAGCCTGAGTGGCTACTATCGAGACCTCACGCTGCAGGTTGCCTACAACATCCCTGATGGCGTGCAAGGGGTAGGTACCCACCACGGGGGCTTCCCCATCCCATGGCAGGTCTTGCAGTGGGCTCCCGTGGAAGGCAAAAAGCTCCACACCGGGTGCGGGAGCAGCTTGTTGCTTCTGAGGAGTGTGTGACCTGTGCTTTTGGTTCAAAGTGACTAGCAGCCCATGAGGGCCACGGTCTGTGTATTTTCGAGTTGGACAGAATCTCAGCAGCCAGATCCGAGGCACAGCACTCAGGTGGTTGTTTAAAATGCTTTCTTCTTGTTTTAAGGTTGGTGACCCCCATCCAGGACAGCCTTACAAAGGAGGCAATTTCTATGCCTTCCTGCCTGACAACAGGGAAGGGCAGAAGGCAGCAATGCTGCTGAAGAAAGCATTTGAGCATGGGCTGACATTCCAGATCAAGTCCTGCAACGGAGAGGAAAGAGTGACATGGGGCCTTATCCCACACAAAACCTCCTGGGATGGAGGCAAAGCCAGGTATGGCCCAGCTCATCCCAAGCTTCTAGGGTTTTCTTTCTAGCAATTGGAAGAGGAGAACAGCTCAGCAAGTCCTGGCACGGGTGGCTCTTCCAGGCTCCCGCAGTGGCAAAGTTGGTGCCTCCCTTTGCCTACCCCACACCTGTAAGTTCCCCGCGGGACAGAATTCTGGGCCCTGTTCACTTACAGCTTTCCTGGCTTTTTCACAGCTCTGGGTGCGAGCTGTGCCTGCGGGCAGCAGCTCCCAGGGAGCAGGACTTCCACCTCAGTTGCTGTTGAAGGGATGGGGCAAACCCCCTACTGCTTCTGCCAGTGGTTTTAGCACGGTCAGCAGGACTGACACCACCTCCCTCTCTGCCCCGCAGGAACGGCTATCCAGACGCCCAGTATCTCCGCAAACTTTGCGCAGTCCTGAAGAACCTGGGCATCACCTGAGCCTCCCTGCCTGAGCAGCCACAGCCCATGCCTTCGCTTCGCCTTCCTTTCCAGCTGACAACACAGCCTAACACAGACAGCTTGGGAAAAAGCAGGTGTTTGTCCAAGGAGCTCCAGTGTCCCTAGAGGTAGGCAAAAACCTGCACGCTGGTGACAGTAGCAGTTCCATCCTGGCCCCTGCAAGCCTCAGCATGGATCAGAGCTTCCCTGAAGCGCCAGCTCCTCCTGGACGCCTGTCCTCACCAGCCAGTTGTGCAGCTCGTTTCAGCACCAGCTCCAGGCTCAGCCCCAGCAGGGCTTTCAACAGCATAACCCAAACCTGGGCAGGAGCCTGCATTTAGTCCAGCCCCATCTTCTGGAAGTCTCTTCCCCTCTGGCCACTACAGGCAGGTTCCAGCTCAGCCAGCGCCATCATTAAGTTCAGCTGTTGGCTCAGACACCTCGGTGCCATGCAGACAGCCCTGAGCTCCAGCCCCTCCCTAGCCCCTGCTCTGGGGCCAGCAGGCAACCTGGTGCTTCCCATGACAATACAAAGGCATGGGCAGACTCTAAGTAGAGGAACACAAATAAACAAGATTTATTCTGAGATTTTTAGTAGTGCTTGTTCACACCTTGTCTTACCATCACACCCCAGTCACCCATTTCAATCTCCACTGGCTACACAGACGCCTAGACACAGCCTGAACTGCAGAGGCCAGCTAAGGGCTTTGTGAATGAAGCCCACCATAGCTGCTCTCTGGACCAGGGTGTCAGAACATCAGTGCAACACGCAAGGCAACAATTAACAGTTGTCCATGACAGCAGAGGTATCTTCTCACCCTGGCAGAGTTAGAATTTATACACAATGCGTCCACCCCCTGACTGCCTGCAGAAGCAGTAGAAGAGCCCAGAGGCTGAGCTGGGGCAGAGGGTTCATTCCACCAGAAGACAGAGCAGCATACCACTGAGGGTTTTGTTATGCTTTTAATTACCATTTGAAACACATAAGGCATATGGTAACATTAGACAGAGGAGCATTACACAGTATAGTCATGTAAACAGCATTGGCACACTTGCTTTCTGTCCAACTTGGTTACACGCACAAAGCGGAATATATTTTTTAAAACAAAGATTTTCCATGTGTCTGTGGGATGAGCATCACTCACATCACGTATCTGCAAATCAACACGACTCAGACAGTACAGACCAGACCGTATGTTGTAAGAGGCTCAGAGTCTTCACACATTTCACATCACGCTCGTTTACTTCTTGCCAGTCACACTTTGCCATCACCAGGGCTCAGCACACTAGAGACTTCATTAGGCAACAAGAGTGGTTTTACACCTATGATAGCAGCCGTAAGTGCGCCAGGATCCTGCACAATTCAAGCCTGACACCCACAACACTTCTTACTTCTCCCTGGTCAATCAATTCTAGTTTAATACAGGTGTCTGAAACAAAAGCTACAGCTAAACCCCTTCCCCCCTCTCAAAGGACTTGGCAGGGCTTGTGCTGCTCTGCGCAAGCCAAGGCTGCTTCCACTGCCTTCCCCTTCTGCAGGTAGCGTGCGACACAAGCGAGCTTGAGACAAACCAAAGAGTCAAAAATGTGAGAAAAGCTGCCTGGTGACAGCAAAGGAATTGCCTTTTGTCCGAGCCCAGCAGCACCAGTCTGGGAAGGCGATGGCAGCAAGGACACCGAAGGGGCACTCACCCCGTGCTGCGCAGCCCCCAGCAGCGGGCAGGGCTGGGGACACCTCCTCTGCTCCTAACTCCTTACGGACGTGTTCCACTTGGACTCCATGGCACAACCTCGGGGTCAGACAATCAGCAAAAGAAACACTAAATTGCACTTCTGATAGCTGGAATGGCACACGCAATCTAAGCACAGGACTCTCCTATTTCCTCAACAGCACGACTTTGCCCTAAACAGTTAAGCAACACTGAGTGGAATGATTTTATCCTAGGGTTTGTTGTTTTGTTTTTTTGCTTTGGTCCTTAGTATACAAACCTGCTGGTTAACTTCTTTAAGACACTTGAAGTTGTTTTACATAGGTTCTATACTTACTGGCCCGTACAATGTTTGTCTGTAAAAAAACAAGCCCAAAAAACAATCAACCACCTCAAGCAGAGCACTGACCAGTGCGGCAGTGAAGAGCAAGGTTACGTTTAATCTTGGTCTTTCCATAGAAAACATGGTTGCTACCAAGGGACATAAACCAGCCAGTGCTAAAGGCAAACAGATTGCAACTGCTTAGCACTCTGGCCCTGATAAGGGCTTCAGGAATTTGTAGGCAGCAGACAGACAGCAGCTGCCCGAAGAGAGCCCTGATTGTTTCCAGAGAGCCAAGGCTGGGGCAGCAGATAAAGCCTCGCTCCAGGACTGGCTGGAGCTGAAGAGCTGCCCTGGGGCAGACAAGGGCTCTACAACAGCACTGCAGGACCGGGGAGCCCAGAACCACCAGGACGGCCCTGGAAAGGCTGCAATACACGGAAAGGGAGCGTCTGATGCACGGTAAGTCAAGACTACATCACCAGTATTCACAAAACAGAGCTAGCAAGAGTTGTAACAGGTTTTTGGCAATACTTTGAAAGGCCGGAATGGAAAAGGCTCCAGTGACTTCCTAGTCCTTACAGGCACGTAGAAGAAGGCACTGAGAGACTGTTTTCTGTGGCATACCACAAGGCAGCATGTCAGAGGCATCCTACGGGAAGCTGCAAGACTCCTGCTGTCCTCCTCCATGCTGGGGAGCGAGGGACAGGCTGAGAGAGCCTTGCTACACTGCCTGATCCAAGGCCATCCAAGTAAGGCACTGAGCACGTGCTTAGCTGAGAGTAAAGCAAGGAGAGGGCGTTACTGTGAAACACAACTTGACAGTTTTCCCCTTTACAAGCGTGCAGAACCTGAAGATGTGCAGGGCTGTGTGCTGTCTGAGCACGCTGCTCTTTCATCAAGGTGAAGTCCAGTTTCTTGGAGGAACAGGTCCAGACTTCCCATTTCAGCAATTTAGAGTCCTTCTGTTGTCAGACCTGGTAAAGCAGCATTGGACACTGTTGGATTTAATCTAAATTAGCATGACATGGCAGGTTGAAAGGAGAAGCAGCAAGATTTTGGATTCAGAAAGGTTAAAAGTTGTGCTTGTGAGTTTTATCGGACCATGTTTATAAAGTTCACGTATCAAGTGCGAGAGGTGGACTGACAAGGATCTGACAGGACTTCAGCCCTCTGAGGCTGTAGGGAACAGGGTTGTTTTCATACTTAAAGTTAGCCAGGGCAAGTCCCTAGAGGCTATGCCTACACATTTCTAGAGAACTAGGGACTGAGCCCAAGCACCAGAAATACAAGCTGCACTGACAGACAGGAGTGCCGCTGGAGGATGGAGCTGGCTGAGGAAGCAGCCGCACTCCTCACCTGCACAGGAACCCCCAGCCCTGCACAGTGCTCAGCTGCTTGTGAGCGGTGGAGGGGCTCCACACACAGGGCCCTTCGCCCGGCAGGCACCTTCCCTCCTCAGGGCTGGTTAAGCAGGACTCCCAGTAGCCACGTTTTGCTCCTGGAGCCTGAGATCTTCCGTGATGGGCGGGTCTGCTTGGCACCCTCAGGCTTACCTTTTCAAATCCAAAATGAATCCTAAAAGCCTGCAGCACCTACAGTCCATTAAAAGCCTCAAAGCAAGCACAAACAGCACCAGTCACTCAGGGCTGAAAACAGGGTCCAGCAGGAAGCAGGGGGAGAGGCACCACCCAGGACATTAAGTGCTTATGGAACTTGGCTTGGGTCTCTGCACAGCTACGTTTCCAACTGCACGGAAGAAAGAGAAGAGGTAAAGAAACCGAGTTCTGGTCTGGGAGGAGCACCCCAGGCAGTTCTTAAACGCTTGGCACTGGAGGAGAGCCTGAGGGTCCCAAGACTCACAGTTTCAGGGGAAGAAGAGCCAAGCCCTGCTGCAGCACTGAGCCACGAGGCGAGAGCTGGGTTGAGTGGACACTGAACGAGCTAGCTAGCAGAGAATGGAAAGCACAACCTAAACTGCTCAAGACATACAGGCCAAGAGGCTTGACGCAGAGCTAGGCAGTTCACCATCCAGACTGGTAACACGGTGATAGCTTTACTGAGTGGGGTGCCATGGAAAGAGGCAGCCCAGGCTCCTGGGAAGCAAGCTTACAGGACTCGTTCTTGCAAGTCACTTCTTAAACTGTAAGACCTCCCCAGTCCATAGGGCACAGCACAAAGCAAGCATTAACAGGGGCTTATTTTGTTCCCATCTTGCTGAAGTCTGATTCAACACTGCAGCCATTGGAAATACAAACACGAGGGTGAAGTTTAGCCTTAACAATACCAGCTTGGAGCCCAACATTAATAAAGCACAGAGCCAATATCAGTTGTTCCAGTCGTTTGAGACACAGTCGAGTCCTTATGGTCTCTAAAAAAATCACACACAGTTTAGATCTCCCTATACAGTTTGGAATCAGAAAATGGACAAGATCAAGTTACCTAATTGAAACTTTTCTTCTGTATTCAGACACAGCCCAGCCTAGCCTGTCAGGTTATTTGCTGACTGCACAGAGAAGTGACTGCAAATTAAGTGCAATATGCCATAGACCCCAGAAGGCCATGATAGTTATTTACAAGGCAAAGATAACATGACCTGTTACTATCTGACTGGTGTTAGAGGCCTATGAAAGCAGAGGGGAAAGAGCATGGTTAGTGTAAACAGAGGAGTAGCCTGTGCTGGAATTAAACTAGACCAGCCATGCTCTCCCTCTGGCTGTTGAGAAAACATCCTCAGTTTGGCCAGTTCTCCTGCTGAGCTTCTCAAAGGTGACAGTGCAAATGCTTCAGCAGGGCTCAGTTTCTGCAGAGACACTTGGCAGTTGCTACAGCATGTTACATCTCGACTTTACAGTGGCAGGCTATGCAGCCGCTCATCACCAGCGGCCTGGAAGCTTCAGCTGCACTGCCAGAGAAAAATAAGGTTAGCGTGGAAATTCAGTAGAGAAACAAGTGATTAGAAAAACGTACGAAACAAGCTTTAAAACAGAGAGCTAGGGCAGGAGGCATAGCTGGCAAAGGGTCAGCCACAACAAGAGCATGCAAACCTCAGCTGAACTTTAATCACGACGTTCTTGTACTGGTGAAGATGGAAGCTACTGATCTGTCCATTTCCAGGTCCCAAAGATGGGAGTTAAACCATGAAATCACAACCTGCACGCATCTCTCCTCTTTAGTTCTCTTCTTTTTTGGACTCTTCCTTGGGTGCTTCAGGAACCAGGATGACCTTTCCAACATTCTTCTTCTCTTGCATCTGCCTCATGGCATCTGCCACCTGGAAGCAGAAGCAGGAGAAATCTCAGGAGACCCGCACCCACCACGCAGTGCAGTTGTGCCCTTCCCGGGCCCCTCGGCCCACCCAGACTAGCCTGAAGCTTCCTCGGCAGTCCAAGCGACTGCCAAGCACTTGAGTGCTTCTGCACAGATGCATTTTGGACAGAGCTGGGCAGCCACCCCAGCCTGCCCGTAGAAAACTGTCCTCAAGAATTCACACAGACCAACCGCAACATTGGCAAGGATGCTCTGCCACACAAACTGTGGAGGAATGAAGTGTGTGTCACCACAGCTTCCCTTCCAGAGGCGAGCCAACAGCCAGAGGGACAATGCTCCTACCATCTACACAACCACAGAACAACACATGCACAGATTTTTATTATTATTATTTTTAATCAAAACAGCACCTGGGCCAGGCCTGGAATCAACAGAGTTTTCCCTAAGCATTTGCATCAGAACTAGTTCTCAGGTACTAACACCAGCTGGTCATCACCAAGTCCTTTGCTCCCTTGCAATAATTCCTGCCCCAGCAAAGGATTTTGAAGGGAAGTACCTGACTCTGCCTGGACACATTGATGCAACAATGCCGAGCACAGCAGAGCTGTCGAAAAACCTGCTGCTTCCTTCCAACACCCTCATTCTGCTTTCACTGCCTGGGCTCTCTTTCACTCGTGGAGGGGCAGCAGAATCCTTTCCAGATGTCTGCTTAATTACAGCTTGCAGACTCAGGGCAGTCTCCTGACACATAACCCAGCCCCTTCACGGGCTGCTGCTGCCCATGGAGCACAGCTGAGCGCCTGCCTTATTCCACAGGGATGCTGCCTGGCATCGCCCAACTCTGTGCACCGGAGCACAAGAGCCCAGCCACCTTACTCCTTAATATCTTAAAAGGAAAACAGCACTGAATGCCTGAGAACTGATAGCTGCTAAACATTTGCAACAGTTCAGCCCCCACAAACAAGGTGCTCGCACTGATCCAGAGCTCACTGTGCAGAAAACAACCGCCCAGTAATTTCTGGGTGCTGCCAGCCTATATGTTAGCTCAGACTCACCTGATCAAAGGGCCATACAGAATCTATTTTGGGCTTGATTTTGCCTTGACTATACAGGTTAACCAGCTTGGCTACAACACCTCCGACAAGCTCAAATTCTTCATCCATGTATCCAAGGTGGTAGCCACACACAGCCTTGTTATGGTGCAGGAGCTGCAGGGCATTGATGCTGAACTGGTTCCACCAGGTTTTAGCCATAGCCATGAGGTTCTTCTTCTGCCCAGTGAGCAGGTTTGCTACCCCTAAAAAGAAGGCAAGCCACAGGTGAGCTGGAATCAAAACAACACGAGGGGCAGTGGGCATCCCATGTAACAGCTCAGACAATATGCAGGGTAACAGCCGTTGACAGAGGACAGAGGTGAGAACCAGATCACATCAGGATCTGCCAGCTGATCTTCAATGGAAACAGGTATCTGGCTTGGCCCCAAGATACACAGAATTTGGATTATTGACACCCATATACCGCAAAAATATAGAACAACTCCTCTCTCAGGAGGGCAGCAGCAATGCAGCTAGACTGAAGTGCTGGCAGAGGCAAGAGAGGGTTACAAGTCACCCCCAGCCAGGCTGGCAGGACAGCATTCCCCTTCTCCTACAGCCAGGCTTCTTCAGGGCAGCCACACGCTACGATGGCTGGGACAACAGAAGCAGCACACTGGTGCAAGTGTCTGGAATCCCACTGGGGGTTGTGCGAGGCCTTTGTCTATGGGACAAAATCACAGTGTTTCAGGGCTGGGGAACGGGGAGATAAGCATTCAGCAGCCTCAAACCTCATCACCCACACATCCTCTAGAAGAAAAGCAAGGCTCTATTAGTGCTGTGCATTAAGTCAGCCTGGACAAAGCAGTTGTGCTAGCGTTCCTCCAGGAGGACATTCCAGCTTCCCCTGCAGGCACCGCCTCATACTCAAAGAGATATCTTGCCATGGGAGGGAAGTGCCTTGGACCTCGTGACCAGAACTCTTGGGACAAGGCACAAGTCTCACCCCTCTCAGTGCCTCACCAAGGCAAAGCACCCTAAAGACCTTCACGAAATAACAGAACCACAGCACACACAGCAAGAGCGATGCTCCCTCATGGCTCTGTGCCCAGGCTCGGAGCAGCGCAGAGCATCCCCGTGCAGATCCACACCCACCCTCCCATCACATGGTCTCTCCTGTGCAGAAGCTGGGGTGTGGGCACGCTGCTTACACTCACCGTAAGTGATGAGTTTGCCCATCGGCTTCAACAGGTTAAATGCTTTGGATGTATCGGATCCTCCCAGGGGGTCCAGGACAATGTCAACACCTAGAGGGAATTGAGAATAGCTAGAAGTTTCTTTGCACTTGAAAGAAATGCAGGACAGTTGTAGAAGTCCTCCACCACATGGTACCTTTGGGAGAGATTTTCCGGACCTCCTCCACGTAATCCATCGTTCTGTAGTCAATGGGGTGAGTGACTCCGCTCTCCTTGAGTGACTCATGCTTGGAGGCAGATGCTGTGCCAAAAATGGTGACATTTTCTACAGTCTTGCACAGCTGGATGGCAGCAGTTCCCACACCACCTGAAAAGCAGCAGTGAGAAAGACTTAGAAGCAAGCAGCCCTAGCAGTCAGAAAAGCCTCTGGATAGGTAAACTATCCCTGCTTGTGCTAATCCCGCAGCACCGGGATGGTACGGAACAAAGGCTTTGCCTGGGGCAGGCTGTGACACGCTGGGGGAGACTGACCCCAGCTGCTGGGACACGGGTTCAGCATCTGCCAGTGCCTGGGTCAGCATGAAGCCTGCATCTCTGGCAGGTGATGTTTTGCCAGTCCAGCCCTGTTGTGACCATCTCCTTACCCATGCCACCTATTCAGATGCCGAGGCCAAGAGTGTCAGCACAGGCTCGCAAGAACTGCCTACCTGCAGCCATGTGGATGAGGACACTCTGGTTGGGTCTCAGGTTTCCAAAGTCAAACAGGATCATGTAGGCAGTGATGTAGTTGACAAGAAGAGCAGCGGCTTCCTCGAAGCTCATCCCCTCAGGTATTAGGAACGTCTGACTGACGGGCACGTTCACCACTTCCTGCCAGAGCCCTGACCTAGCCAGGACCATCACCTTATCACCAACCTAAAATCAAACAGAGGACAAGGCAGTCTGGAGCAAGCCTCAGGCTGGCAGAAGCCATCACAGCCTTTCGGAGGGCTACAAGGATGGTGAGGGGGCTGGAGCATCTCTCCTACGAGGAGAGGTTGAGGGAGCTGGGCTTGTTCAGCCTGGAGAAGAGAAGGCTGAGAGGGGACCTTAGAAATGCTTACAAAT